GGTAGTTGCCTGCTCTATCCCACCCCCAATTTCCACTTCCCCCAAATAATTTTTAAACTCTTTTGTTTTGTTTGTTCATAAAGTTTATTTATTTTGGGAGAGAGAGAGTGCTCAGGAGGGGCAGAAAGAGAGGGAGAGAGAATCCCAAGTAGGCTCTGCTCTGTCAGCACAGAGCCCGATGTGGAGCTTCAACTCGTGAACCATGAGATCATGCCTTGAGCTGAAACCAAGTGTCAGATGCTTAACTGACTGAGCCACCCAGGTGCCCCAAGTCTTTTATTTTGTTATTTAACTCCCATGTTTCTAAATAACGTGCTTAAACTGCTTTTTACTGATCTTCCCATTTTGGGTATCAATGGACTTCCTACTATGGAAGATAAAGACTTAGCCCCCTAACCCACCCCAGCCCAACAGCACACGCGCAGTCATGCTCTCTCTCTCTCTCTTGCTCGTTCTCTCTTTTCCTTTCCCCCATTCTTACCATGGAAGTTTCTTATTCCACCACTCTGCATTATTTACATACTTACTACCATCAGTATTGTATAATATTCTCAGTTGAGCCTCACAGCAGACTATGATTCTATTTCTTTTCCTAGACAACTTGTTTTTCCTGGGGTTGATGGCGGTTTCATTTTTTCATTTGGTTGGTTCCCTCTCTGTACATTTATATGCAACCCCAGATTCCTCCAGAGCCAGTCACGGTTTGGGTGTCTGATGTGTTGATGTGTTTCAGCTTATTGACAAGTTGTGTCTGTTGTTTTTTTTCTCTTCTGAGAACTTTTTAAGACTCTCCTTGTCCACAATGGTCTGAAATTTCATAATCTATATGCTTTCCCATGGGTGATTCTTTTTTTTTATTTTTTATTATTTTTTTTTCAACGTTTATTTATTTTTGGGACAGAGAGAGACAGAGCCTGAACGGGGGAGGGGCAGAGAGAGAGGGAGACACAGAATCGGAAACAGGCTCCAGGCTCTGAGCCATCAGCCCAGAGCCCGACGTGGGGCTCGAACTCACGGACCGTGAGATCGTGACCTGGCTGAAGTCGGACGCCAACCGACTGCGCCACCCAGGCCCCCCCCCCCATGGGTGATTCTTTATACATTGTTCTGAACACTGTTTTTGCCCTTTCAGTATGGAAGTTTTTATTTTTCCTTTGTTAATTTTTTCCCATCCATTTTCACTCCTTCTTTGTGAAATTCTTCATTGGGTGTTGGCACTCCTGAATTGATCTAATGATTTTCATGTACCTCCCCCCACCCCCCACCATTTTCTCTCTATACGTTCTATCTGTGCTATCTTACCACAGTTGAGATTTTCTCAACTTTTTTTAAAACCTTCTATGGAAGGGCGCCTGCATGGTTCATTCAGTTAAGCATCTGACTCTTGATTTTGGCTCAGGCCATGATCTCACAGTTCGTGAGATTGAGCCCCATGTCGGGCTGTGAGCTGACAGGGTGGAGCCTGCTTGGGATTCTCTATCTCTCTCTCTGCCCCTCCCCTGCTCGCACACTCTATCTCTCTCAAAAATAAATAAACTTAAAAAAAAAAACAACCTTCTATGGAATTAATTTGTTATAGTTCTCATTTCTAAGAATTCTTATTCTCTGAATACAGATATGGATATATAAATATATATTCCTATATATGACCTTGTTTCACATATATATATATATATATATATATATATATATACACACATGATTGAAACAAAATAAACATTTTTTAAACTCTGTGTACAGTATAAATTTTCGGAAATTTTCTTCTGATTCCTACACTGTTTTTGTTTCCTCTGAGTTTCTTGTTTTGTCTTAGACTTTGATGTTAGAAGCTTCCTTTAATATCTGGTTATCGTTGGCTGTTCACTTGTATTTAAGACTGGAGCACCGGAAAGCTAATTTGAAAGCTGCAGAAGGGGCAGGACTGTTGAATGCGGTCTCTCTAGTCTGAGAGGGGTGAGCCCGTGATTGTCATTGGCAGACTCCCTACTCCTCACATGTGTTTGTAGTTCTTTATCTTGGACTTGTGGGTTTTCCTAGAGAGGATCTTCCTGCCTCCTGCTTTGGCGGGGAGTGGGGAGGGACGGTGTAAGCCTACATACCAGGGATCTGCAACCTGAGGGGTAAAGGAATCTCACGGTTTAATATGCAGACTTGACCTTAGATGCCCCAGTCTTCTGACTCCGAAATTGCCCTTCTGTTTCCCAGCTTCCAAAATGTTGCTAATGGTTATTGTCACCCCTGTTGTTTCTGTCCTTATGGATCTCTGTATTATGTTTTTATTCCTTCACTATCATTTCAGTTGGGTTTAGAGAAGGAGTGCAATAAATGTATACGTTTCATTTACTGCCTTTTTGGGTAGGTTATTTAGTTTCTGTGTAGTTCAGTTTATCCGTCTGAGAAATGGGAAAAAATAATAGTCATTAGCTCACAGAACTGGTGTTAACATGAAGTGAGAAACCTACCTATGGTCTTAGCTCTGTGCTTGGCACCAGGAAGTATGGGCTGTAATCTTAAAAATGTATTACAAAGTAATAAGTTATAAACTGTACAAGCGTATACAAGTCATTATACAAGTATGAAGTGTCATCTCAAATGAGTTGAACGTGTCCATCAGTGAAAGGGGTCAAAAACAGCCTTTACCCCGTCTCTTTCAGGTAAAATGCTAACATCCATTTTAGGGGAGTGGGGAAAAAAAATGTCCTTAACTTGTTATCAAGATTTATTATTTAAAAGTGACAGTCAAAACACATGCGTTTCCAGAAAGCTGAAAAGTTTCAAAGTTGTTTAAATATTACTGCCAACGAAATTGTTATTCATTTAACTTTTTGAACTTGTAACTGTTTTAATTGATCGATTAAATTATTTTTCTGCTGTGTCTGAATTCAGTAAGCTTGAAATATAGTTAACTATAATTAATTGCCTTGGTAGGATTGCTTCTTTCATCTTACAACAAACATTAAGCACTTTCTGTATGAACTGTTGTCCCGAAGCTTTTTGCCTGTATCAAAATAGATCAGTAAGCAAACAGGCAATGTAAAAAAGCTATGAGACCTCATGGGGCCTCCTCTGCACCATGAGAAGGATGGACCAGGTGAACCATCCACTCAGATCTAAAATGTGCTTTTGGGGCGCCTGGGTGGCTCAGTCGGTTGAGCGTCCGACTTCAGCTCAGGTCATGATCTCACAGTTCGTGGGTTCGAGCCCCCGCATCAGGCTATGTGCTGACGGCTCAGAGCCTGGAGCCTGCTTCAGATCCTGTGTTTCCCTCTCTTTCTGCCCCTCCCCCGCTCACACTTTGTCTCACTCTGTTTCTCAAAAATAAATAAATGTAAAAAAAATTTTTTTAAATAAAGAAAATAAAATGTGCTTTTATCATTTTTATGCACATCACTTTTTATAACGCTTTGACTCAAGTTTGTGATTCATTTCCAAGTGTGTGTTTGTACATATGAGCCAAAACACACATATTAAAGATGCAGCCTAGGGGCGCCTGGGTGGCTCAGTCGGTTGGGCGACCGACTTCGGCTCAGGTCATGATCTCACGGTCCGTGAGTTCGAGCCCCGCATCAGGCTCTGTGCTGACAGCTCAGAGCCTGGAGCCTGTTTCCGATTCTGTGTCTCCCTCTCTCTCTGCCCCTCCCCCGTTCATGCTCTGTCTCTCTCTGTCCCAAAAATAAATAAACGTTGAAAAAAAAATTCAAAAATAAATAAATGTAAAAAAAAAATTTTTTTTTCTTTAAATAAAAAAAAAAAAAGATGCAGCCTAAAAAAAAAAGGTACAGTTTGTGGAGCACTGTATTACATAAATCACCCAGTGTTAGCGATATCCAGCCCAGTGGAAAGGACAAGATATAACTGAAATCATACATCTTTAAATTCTTGACCTGCCCGAGATTTTACCTTAGTGGTGTTCCTTTCAGTGTCCAACTATGGACAACTGTGTTCAGTCTGAATCACTTGATAACCAAAGGCAAGCAGGGTAGTGATTGAGAATACAGAAAGCAGAGAACACCACATAGACCCCCCCCCCCCCCCCCGCCACCGTGAGTCTTTTCAAGGAAGAGTCAGGACGGTTCATTTTAGACTTCTTAGGAAAATCTTAATATTTATGTAGAATCAAGCTATGACCCTCCAACTACATCTCATTTTTGCTTTGAGGTAAGGTCAAGGTAATTCTCAATTAAGCTTATAGTCCCAGCTAAGAATTTTATTTCCTGCTTGCTTGCTTGCTCTCAGATGTGGGCAAGTAGTAGATATTTGGTGATCTCAGAATTATGTTAACTTAGCGGTGCCTGGGTGGCTCAGTCAGCTGAGCATCTAAATCTTGATTTCGGCTTAGGTCATGATCCCAGGGTCATGGGATCGAGCCCCATGTTGGGCTCAGCATGGAGCCCACTTGGGATTCATTCATTCATTCTCTCTCTCTCTCTCCTTCCCTTCCTCCCTCCCATGCTTGCACGCACGCACTCTCTCTCTCTCTTAAATAAATACATAGTTTTAATTAAAAGTAAAGAATTATGCTAACTTAGATTCAGAAGATAACACAACTTGGAGGTCTAGACTCTAATAAACAAATGGTAAAATAGTAAATAAAGGATATTAGATGGAAAACTTCTTGAGGGCAAAAAGTCACCCTCGTGTGGTCCAATTCAACTGTCTCAATCTCTTGCACATGGTTGCATGCCAGAACAAATCAATATGCGAACTTTTGGAAACTGTGAGCACAGTTCTTAGAGCAAATTATAAATAAATCATTCCTCAACATGAATAAATGCCTTCCATACGACTCTTTGCCCATGTACTTATTATCTTCTAGGTAGTTCCCAGATGTGAGTTTTATCTCCCCTTACCTTAGTTTTTGAGGCCAAAGACCAGGTCTCCACTTTGACACCCATCACAGGGTCCAGAACACCCTGGGGCACAGAATAAGGGCTTGACTCATTATTGAGTGATTGTGTGATTAACAAACATGTTGATGGCCCATGTCCTCTGTTCTGCAGCAGGCCTGGCCAAGTGGGACCCAGCAAATCCTGCTTCCCCCAGCATGGCAGCAGCTGACCGGAGTGGCCACCCACACATCAGTGCAGCACGCGACTGTGATTCCCGAGACCATGGCAGGCACCCAGCAGTTGGCCGACTGGAGGTAAGCAGGAAAGCGCGCGTGTCTGTGTCCACGGCTCACCCGGAGAGCTGCCGGACTGGCCTGCATTGTGAATTCTCTGGTTTACAGGGAACTTTTGAAATTAAACAGAGTATTAGGTGGGATACAACTACGGTGCAATGAGGGTGAATTTTTAAATAAATGTAAATCAGCTTCATTACTTTATGGTCACTTGTCATTTTCGACCCCAAATTCAGTTACATCATTTGATCGCCGGTGTGATCCAGGGACGCGCATCTGGATGGTTCTTGGTTTGTTTCTCAGAATTAAACTCCACTCCCGGAAAACAAAGATTTGTTGGCAGTGAAAGAATGCGGAAGAGAGTCCCTGAGGCTCCTACGCGATTCTAGAAAGTGTTCTCAAGGTGTTTTGAGACATGGGCACGCTGGAGTTCTATCTGCCCTCTCGGGGGAAAGCTGACAGAATGGGGTTTATTTGGAATGGTAAACTCTGGCATGTTTGCTGAACGTGCCTCTTCAGTTAATAGTCGTAGCTGATAGATCAAAGTCCATTTTCCACAGACCCCAGAGGCACGTGCTGACAGCCACCAGCACACCATAGCCCTGTATGTTTCCAGAACCCCACCCATCCCACTCACTGACTTCCTCACCAACACCTTGCTCTGTTGTTCTTTCCACTTGCCACTTCTCCTTATACTCTCCACCCACTCCGTCCCAACCCCACCACTGTGCCCCCCGCACCGATGGCAGTCCCCCAGTTGTCTCCGGCTTCCCGCGGCCCTCTGGGCTCTCTCGTGCAGCCCAAACATCCGGCGTCTCTCCACCTTCCGACACTCTCCATACCGACCGTGGAGCCGCCCTGCAATTTCTTTTTGGATCTAAGAGGCTGTTGTGAATGAAGAGCGCCTGGTAAAACGAGGCGTGGAGATAGAAGTCCCAGGTCAGGCCTCAAATGAAGCTTCCTCTATTCCTCCATTGAATTTTCTGACTAGTACAAACAAGAGAGGACGCAGGCTCTTTCCTGCAGCGCCACTCACTTCCCACCGACAACACCCACCAAGTCCACCCCCACTCATTGGAAGCACTTTCAAACAAGGTAAAACTGGGTTCAATTCTGGCTCTGCATGATCCGAGTGAGGCCTTTATGAGCCTCAGTTTCTTCTTCAATACTGTGGGCATAACAATGCCTACCTCCCAGAACTGCCGGGAGGTTTAAATGAAGATAAACTGCAAAGCGCTTGACCTGTATTTAACACATATTATACTAGCACCTGGTACGTGACAGGCAGTAAATAAATCTGTTATCTTCCCTTCCCCCATTTACGCTGGTTCACGCTCAGAGAGACTGCCTTCCCTCTCCAGCTCATTAGGAACAGTGACCGAGTGGAAAGCTATTTGACCAATTGGTTTTTTCTCCCCCCGCCTTTCTCCTAAAAGACCATACACATGCCGTGCTACTTTTTTCCTTTGTCTTTCAGCGTTTATAACTCATTTAACTTCAGCAAAACTCACTTACACAGATTTTCTCATTCCTCCTCCCTCCTCAGCTCTTACCTGGTTACCACAGAGAACACTTAACACTTTCTTTCCAATCTCTTCTCCATTTCACGTGTGGGCCAAAGAACATGCACAGTCATGTAAACAAAAGAGAGAGGTACAGATCCTAGACTTTCCTATCTAGCAACAACACAGTAAAGAAGCCATAACATCTGTTTCTAAATGTAAATGTCCAAGACTCTATCAAAATCTCTACACAAGTACCTACTTACTTCTTTTTCCTTATTCATCCTTTTCCCCAAGTTGCAAAGATGAATTTTGTAGTATTTTTAAAATTCAAATGAAGTCTCCTTTAACTTTTCATCTCATTGTGTGATAAATGGGCTTTGATGGGCAAGTCTCTGAATTAATCACCACTTGTAATATTTCGTTGGGAAAACAACCCTCCGAGCTCCATACAACCCAGATCGTTAAGAACTTTGAAAGACAACCGGCTTTCAGAATAATGGCTGCCAGCAGTACTTCTGTCGATAGGTGTCTCGTATTAACTCTGACTTAGTACCAAGTTCCATTCACATCTCGTCAACCTTCAGTTAATCTAATTGTTCATTCAGCAAGCATGTCATTAACTGATCAGCTGCTACACGCCTGAGCATTGTGCTAGCCACGGAGAGAATTCAAAAGAATGTTAACACTTCCAAACAGCAGAAACCTACGACTCCTGGTTTCCAAAGCTGTTTTAACAGAAACGACAAATTCCTCGTTTGTAAAGTGGTATTACAGTATCCTACCTCACAGAATGCAAGAACCCATTTAAAAGCACTTGTAAATTCTAAAATAAAATGCACAGTGCAGTCATCTGTTTAGGGACTTTAAAAGGTAGAGGGGATAGTTATCTCCTCTCCGCTGAACCTGCAACTTGCCAATTCTTCCCCCTCGAAACGACCTCTTTCTCACTTACCCACAAATCGTGTTGCTGCCCACTCCTTCAGAACAGCACTTAAACTTCACCATACCTGGGAGACCTACCTGGTGAGCTCATCTCTTCAACAACTCCCTGAGCTAGTGAGAACCAACTTTTAGTTTTAATTTGGCTTTTAATCGGGGAGGAAGCTTTATCTTAAAAAGAAGCTCCATATTTATAAAATCAGTAAAGAGCCTTGTTTCTCCCATCTCCCGCTCAGGAACACCCACGCTCACGGCAGCCATTACAATCCCATCATGCAGCAGCCTGCGCTATTGACTGGTCATGTGACCCTTCCAGCAGCCCAGCCCTTAAATGTAGGCGTGGCCCACGTGATGCGGCAGCAGCCAACCAGCACCACCTCCTCCCGGAAGAGTAAGCAGCACCAGTCCTCTGCAAGGTAGGTGGTGGGAGTTGCCCTTGAGGAGAAAAACTTCAGAAGATTGCAAGTTACAGAGATGTTTTTTAAGTTTTATCTATTTATTTTGAGAGAGAGAGAGAGAGAAAGCATAGAGCAGGGGAGGGGCAGAGAAAGGCAGAGACAGAATCCCAAGCAGGCTCCACAATGTCACCACAGAGCCCGATATGGGGCTCAAACTCACCAACCATGAGATCATGACCCAAGCCGAGACCAAGAATCGGACGCTTAACTGACTGAGCTACCCAGGCACCCCAAAATGTGCTTTCTTTGAAATCTGAGGTCTAAGGTAACTCATTTAGCTGCTTCCTGAATTATAAGCAATAACTTTGGTTAATCCTAGGCATTACCAGCAGAATAATCTTACTCATTCCCTTTCAATTCAGTCTCATCTCAATGAACTCTTAAAAATCAAGGCAGAGAAAAGGCCACATACTGCATGATCCCATTTATATGGCATTTTGGAAAGGCAAAAGCGGATCAGGAGTTGCCAGGGGCTACTGGGTGGGCGAGGAGGGGGATTGACAAGGAAAGAGCATGAGGGAACTTCCTAGGGTGATGAAAAAGTTCTCTGGGTTGGCAGAGGAAACATGTACATTTGTCAAAACTCATCAAACACTTACAAAGGGTGACTTTGTGTGTGTGTGTGTGTGTGTGTGTGTGTGTATAGTCAAAATTGTGTGGCTGCAGAATTGCTTCTACATCTTTCTCCAGCAGCACTGACTTTGGAGGCCCTTAATTGTTTCTTTGGAATAGGTTAATCAAGAGAAAGAAGTCCAGTACATAAAATGTCTAGTGAATTTTGGTTTTACTCCCTCATTTAACCAGGGACCAGATATTAGGCCTATGTTTTTTGTTTTTTGTTTTTTTATTATTCTTCTCTGAAGATTAACCCAAGAGCTGACTTCCTTTGAGTTGTCATTCTTCTTCAAGATTCCTTATTTGGGTGTTTCTGACAACCCACAGAAATCCATCTCAGATCTGAGGCAGCTCCGTGACAATGCACCCATGTCGTTATTAGACGGGGTGGCAACGGAGGCCACCGCCTCAGTCCTTTGCTCTGTCATGCCCAGCCGTGTGGGTGGTCACACGGAATACCAGCCTGACCCTGTGCTGATCTTAGCACCCTCATGGCTCACCTTGGCAAGCGGGGGCAGTAAGAACTCTTAGCCTCCCAACCTGTTGACCAGCCCCTCCCTGTTGCCAAGTCACCACCCAGCTGGCTTTATGACGGCTTATTGCCAGTGCTTCTCAAGATCGGTATAATTATACTGAAAGTTTTGTATTTGCCTATTTTTAAGACCAATGCCTTAGGCAAAACAGAAGGCTCTCCCCTGTTGGGCGGTGCAGCCAGGCTCCCTTTCCTTTCAACAGTGCCAAGTGGAGCTATTTCAACTGCTGGGGTAGTGAAAACATAATCTCAAAATTGTAACAAAGCAAGCAGTAACAAATGTATAGGTTTATGCTGACTACAAACAGTGGGCCAATGCTATCGGTAAAAGTTAGCGCCCACCCCCCAGAAAGGAACAAGCAACATATCTGACACCGGCTAGATAGAAAATTAAATAAATCTACAGAATTGTTTTCGTCTTCCTGCCTTTTAGCTAGAAAGCGCTAGAACCTGTAAGGACATACCAGGATCTTCAAAAGTTTCTTTGGCCTCTCGCTGTACAGATACGACCGAGGTCGGCAAAGGTTGGTGGGGAAAAGATAAGGCATTGTTTCCCCAAAGTTACCAGGAACCACAGTTGCCAGTTTGTTAAGGAATTTTGAGTCGATCAAAAACTCCAGATTAAAAGGTCCCTGGTTAAGTACACTTTTTCCTCCTGCATCCTGCCCGGCTTTTCATTCCAGCTCAAACAGACGGGTAGACTTCCTAGGAGGCTGGTGTTTGCGTTTCGTGCGTGGCAGAACAGCCATTAGCAAGGACACCAAAGCTTTATGTGGCAAATAACATTTCTGTCAACTCCCTTCAAAACAAGACCCAAGTACCCGACCAGAGAACCACCAGATGGAGCTCAGGAAGCCAGGCCTTGACCCCCCGAAGACGGGGCTGCAGTGGAGCAGACAGCCCTGAGGCCCAGGGCACTGCACCCGCCCCCACAGACCAGCCGGGTCCCTGAGCACGAGCTTAAAGCCCTGGCCGCTCCCTTTGTCCTGCTGGGAACAGGCACGTGGTCCCGAGAGCCAGAGCCCAGACAGGGCCATCTGCGTAGCAAGTAACCGAAAGAAAGAGCTTCAGGGGCAGCCGCTTCTGCAATTACAGAAGACACCCGAGTGCCCGAGCCTCCGACTCTTGAATGGAGATCGGGCAAGGCTGGTGTCTGTGGACCTCCTCGGGAGGAGCCGCGGGGCCCGACCTGCGTGGCTTTGTCGTTACAGAAACGTCTCCACCTGTGAGGTGTCCTCCTCGCAGGCCATCAGCTCCCCTCAGCGGTCCAAGCGCGTCAAGGAGAACACGCCTCCGCGCTGCGCCCTGGTGCACAGCAGTCCCGCCTGCAGCTCCTCCGTCACGTGCGGGTGGGGCGACGGGGCGTCCAGCACCACCAGGGAGCGGCAGCGGCAGACGATCGTCATTCCCGACACCCCCAGCCCCACGGTCAGCGTCATCACCATCAGCAGCGACACGGACGAGGAGGAGGAACAGAAGCATGCGCCCACCAGGTGAGGCTGTGCCACCTTCGGACGCGCGGGAGGGAGCAGGGCGGGGGCGCGCCGGGTCCTCCGTGGGCCCGGGCCTCTGTCCATCGTCAGACGTGATGAGCTCTGGCTCCTGACCCCCAAGTTTTGGTCTTGTCGTGTCCTAGAGTCCTGAAGTGATGTCAAGGGACCATCAAACAGAGTTTCCATAATTGTTCAATGCCAAAACAATCCGGAGTCACTTTGGTCCCGAAAAATAGTTCTAGTCTCCATACATTTGGGCGACTTGAGACCAATTGTGCACAACGCCAGTGTATCTCAAGTCCTGTGTGAGCTTAAACATCTCTGCCTTGGGCTGTTGAATTTGTTCCCAGTTGGTCAGGATATTTCTCTAGCACCGCCTTGGCTCTCGGAATTCGAAATCATTGTCCAATTAATCAGAAATTTCTCTCTGTCTGATTAACCCAATCTTTCAAGCTGCCGGTTGGCTCTTCATCCAGAGAGCGTTACTGTTTATTCCAAAGTAGTAAGAACTCCTTTTATGCTCTGTATGCCTCCTGGGAAGGGGAAAGGAATATTTATTATATTTGCAAGACTATTAACCCTGGCCCCAAAGCCTCTTTTCCTACATTTTCCAGCCAGACTTCAGCAGGGTGCGGTTTGTACTTGGGCTGCCTGATGAGCCCCTGGAGCTAGCCCCTCCGGAACAGTTGGTCCCCTGGCCTTCTGCATCCCCAGGGGCCTCCGGGCCTCGTAGATCCCAAAGGCTCACAACCCCAACTCCGACCCGCTGGCCTCTCCCGCTGGGACCAAGAGTCGGGGACCGGAGGAGGCCTGTCACCGCCGAGCCCAGCGCTTCTGGTCAGCACACACACCGCTCCCTGATGCGAAGCTTAACATTCACAATTCGGCCCCGGTTATTCATTCCTGATTGGATACAATGTAACTAATTAGTAATCACCAGTCTTCTTGATTAAATAATACATTCCCACACTTGAGATCATTACCAAATGTACAGATAGACTAATTAAAACAGTCTCACTATAGCTGTTCCAGTCCAGGCTCTCCCCTTCCTGTCTTCATAATGAACTCTATTTTGTTTTGTTATCTCATGATAGACCTAGTACATGTCCCATTCCAGTATCCTCCTTCCCCTCTTAACGTCTCAGCGTGGCCTTCAGTGTGTCTCAGAAGAGACTATAGTGGAACACTTCTGGGGTGGGGGAGGGGGGGCACTGGGGGATGCCATGGGGGGTGGGCTGCACTGGGGAGACCAGACGCAGTGTTTCACTCCCCACCTGCCTGTTCCGGGACTGGCCTCGGTTTCCCTTTTTGATAACAGCCCCCAAGTTGAGTCAATACTCTGTCCTCCCCAGCGCCTCGTGCCTCGCAGCCCAGGAATGTCGTGGGCTCAGGTGGTCCCATCACAAAGAGAAAGGTTTTTCCCAGCCCGGAGCGGTCTGTCCACACGTTTATAGCATTGGCCATAAAACGGGCCAAGCAGCCCCCACACAGCCCTTTGCTACAACTGGGAAAAAGAAAAAGCAATTTAAAAATCTGACAATCAGCTAGATTGGACTATCGTTTTTGAAGTATGAGATTCGAACTGACACAGAACCTCAACATACGTGCTCAGGAGAGAATTGAATAGTGTGTCTAAGGAAAAGCAGGATGAGAGAGCCGTCTCTCCACCAATCAGACGGCTGCCAGGGCTGAGCACAGCGCCAAGCCAAAGCACAGACTGCTTCCGCGGTGGTCCCCAAAGCCCCAGAAAGAAACAGAACTGAAATTCTTGGCAGCGTGCAAGGACCTTGTTGTAAATCAGTTGAGACCTAGGGGAGGGCATGGAAGGAGACCCTGGCAGGTGCACGCGTGAGGAACAACCACCAGTAGTGACGGTGGCCTACCGAGCATTGGAGCTTCATAAAATGAAAAATGCAGGGGACTGCCTGGGACGTTCCACCACATGGGGAAAGCTGCAGAGTGAGGCCAGAGAGGAATCGGGAAGGGTTCCAGCGGTCGGCAGCTGTGACAGGAAGCTCGCAGAATGAGGGGATGGGTGTTTTCTGGAGAGATCAAATGACTGTTGCCTTGAAAAAGTGTCTCAAGACCCAAGAAGACAGGAAAGTGTATTTGAGTCTGAGTAGGATAAAACAGAACCCCATAGCTGTTTTATTTATAGACAAACCACTGGATAATGTGATCACATTATTGTGACTGTGTTTTGGAGTGAGAGAAAAACGGAGAGGAAATATGATTACTCGTTCTTAAAAATCAGAATTACCATAAAATTTAACACAGTAAATATTTATTGCCCCCACCAGTGTGAGAGATCATGCTAGGAACTGCAGGTGTTACATAAATAAGGTAGACAGTCTCTGCCCTCAGGAGGTTTGCAGGGTAAGAAGCAAGATAAGACACGTACAAATCATAACACAAAACGGAGTATCAGTCCTGTAAAAACTAGCAGAGTGCTGTGGACGTTCAAAGGGGAAATAGCTTGAGAAAATAGCAGGAACAGCGGACTTTCTGGGGTCAAAGGTCCAAAGGGTGTAGAAAGAGAGGGGGTGAGATTGCAGATTCCAGGAGGTCAGTGGCAGGCAGGGAAGCTGGGGCCTCAGAGGTGGGCTCGTAGGATCCAGCGCGCAGAGGGGCCGCAGATCAGAGACAAAGCAGAGGCAGGGACCACAGGGATTTCCGAATGGAAAGGGGATTTGAGGGTCTCCCCTTCAACGGAGGTGGTCGACTTCAAGAAATACTAAGGAGCTCACGGGAGAGCACCAGTCTTGGGAAAACAAGGATGTGCCCCCAGGGGCAGCCCATCGGGGAGCCTCTTGGCCTCCCTCCCGCTAGAAGCTTTTCTTGCCTGTCCGTGTTCCCATTTGAACACTCAAGATTTCCCTGCTCGTTCCCAAACCTGATTTCTCCTGTGCTGTGAGCATGTCGATCCTGAGCTGCTGTGTTCCCGACCTCGTTTCCTGTTTGCTACTCACCCCAGGACCAGCCCTGGGACTCTGTCTAAAATGCTCATTGCTTCCCCTAACGTGACTCAGCCCCCGTACAGCAGCCAGAGGGTGAGGGGGCCGATGACGCTCACAGAGACGGCGATCATGGTGGCACATGGAGGCCCTTCCACCACCGGCGTCTTTTAGAACCGGTACGAGGCACACAGTGGCGAACCCACAATGTTAGGCCTATTTGAGGGTGTCACCAAGTCTCTGGGACCAGAGGACATTGCCTAGAATTTTTAGGGGAACGCAAGGCAAAGTCACTATTCCAGACCCCCGTATTTGACGCTGTTAGTTGCCAGAGCAGACGGATGGTCACCAGCTCCTACCTGTGAGGAAGGTTCCAGAGCACGAGGTGCAGGCTGGGAGTGAGCCGATTAAAGGGGAGGGAAATCATGACACACATTTACTGAGTGTTCCCATTTGCACTGTCCTGTGTGTCTTTCAGTAGAGTATACAAGGCAGGTAGTTCTACTCCACTCGATAGATGAGGAAACCAAGACCCAGGAAAGATAAGTGACTCACCCCGATTGATGACGTTTCTGAGGAGCACAATTGGAATTCGGGTCCCGTGCCGTGGAAGACACGGCAGTCTCGGGTTACTGGCAAAAATAACTGATTTCTCTTTGGTTATGAACTTGACCAATGTGAACTCTGTCCTGCCCCCTCCTCTGACCACCCCCACGCGGTCATGCCCGCTGTGTGCAGGGCAGCAGCCCAAGGCTATGGGGGGTCCAGAGTCTGTCCACCGAGCCCCGACTGGGTACCCGGTGTCCGTCACAGTGCTGAGCTCTAGCAGCAAGAAGACGTTTTAAAGTGAGGGGACCGACAAAGACCCGGCAGCCTGCTTTTTCTCAACGAGTGGCTGCTGGACTAGGGGGCTCCTGGGGCACGGCTGGAGAATTGTTATAAAGATAGAAAGCACACCAATCTGCAGTTTTTCTGGGTGCCCTGAGAGGAAGTCATAGAACCAGTCTTATTTTAATCATTTATAAATGATTTTGATTAGAGGAACATTTGACTGTATGTGCTGAATAAGCCATCTTCTCTCCCTTGAAATCTCCTTGAACGAAGTTTATTGGTGCCTATCTTATTATTCAGACTCTTTGCTAACCTTGCCTTGTGCTGAAACTGCCCTTTAGAGGCCGTATCACACAGGCTTCAGTCATGAGGATAGTTTTTTTTTAAGAAGTTTTTTTTTAAGTTTATTTTTATTTATTTTGAGAGAGAGAGAGAGAGAGAGAGAGAGAGACGGAATCCCAAGCAGGCTCCTCACTGTCCGTGTGGAGCCCGATGCGGGGCTCGATTCACAAACCGAGATCATGACCTGAGCCCGAGTCAAGAGTCGGACACTTAACTGACTGAGCCACCCAGGCGCCCCACGAGGGTAGATTTTAAAATGTGTGACCAGAGTGGCTCATGTCGACTGATCAGCTAGAAACCATTCCTTCATGTATTCCTTCATTCGGTTACCGGGATATTTCTGGTAGACAGGTTTTCATCTCCTGAGGTCAGCAGGGCTCTGTGACGTCCTGCATCCCTTTGTGCGTGTAGGCGGCCACTCCAGAGTATTACCACCGGTGTCACCAAAATGTAAACTTTAAGAAAGTTGCTTCATTAACATCATTCAGTATTTCAGATAGGGATCACTCTTAAAATGTTTGTATAAAAACTATTTGACCCTAAATGTTCTTCTTTCCACTAAATTGCAATTCTGGACCCATAACTGCAGACAAAAGGCGTAGTCAGGACACCGATAAGCTGCTGCTCAAAAGAGTTTGGCCTGAAAGACTGACGTGTCCTTGGCAGAGGGGAACACCCACACTCAGGTGTTACCAGCCAGGCGGAGCCACCCCGAGGTGGACCCCACGTCCTTGGCCACCTGCAGCCATACCACTCCTCTACTCGTGCTCCTGGTTTGTGAGCCTCAGAGAAGAGACCGGAACCCAACATGTGGCATCATGAGAAGGGGCTTTGTTGTTTTGCAGTTTTGTTTTGTTTTTTTAATATGGAATT